ACTTAATTCTCACTCAGCTCAGTGAGGTGGGAATAATCACTCCAATTTCACAGAGAGGGAAACATCTGGAGAGGGAGAGTGTCAAGTTTGTGTTCACCTGGGTGGTAAGTGGAGGCATGGGGAACGTGAGCAGGTGCTGGGCTTCACCTAGAAGAGGGGTGTTACCAAAATAGAGCACGTCCTAGAAGAGGAACCACATGTTGGTGGTCTGAAAATCATGTAAGAGTACCGGTGTAAGGAATTGAGAGTGCTTGCCTAGAGCACACCAACATCCACATGAAAGTCACCTGCACGTGTGTCAGGCTCCGTGTGTCCCCAGAGAGGGGAGCCAACCCTGAAGGGAGGAAATTACACAGCGACAGCGCTGGGTCAGCACACGGGAAATCTAACCAGGCCCTCAGCCTGAAAATGATGCATTCGTCAAGTCCCGCTTTTAGACACAGCAATGTTATTGGATAATGCATGTTTTTACAGAACAAAATGGTTGGATCATGAGGTTACTCTTGAAAAATACTTGTGATTTTTAAGTTGCACTTGGGTTATTTATGTTTGCATGTCTTGACAGACAGCATTAATGCCTATTAATATTCTTGCCATAAAAGCATTATTCAAGCCAGAACTACTGGTCTAAAAGAGTCCGTGGTATGTGCAGAGCCACTCTGCTAATAGAAAGGTTAACTTGTATTTTTGAATTATTGATGGTTGCTTGTTACTAATTTTTTTTTCCTCAGAAAGGAGGAAATTATTAATGAAGAGATCATTGCCAATGTGTCTGACATCTATTAATGGTTTCATCTTGCAACCAGATTAAAAGAGACAGCTGGTCCATGAATTTATGTGTGGAGACAGCTCCAAATGTGCTGACAACTCCGTGGGAGGTGGGGGCCATCAGGCAGTGGGGCCTGGGCTTTGGCTGGGGCCTCCTCGAAGGGCTGTCAAAGGCTTTGCTGCAGAGCGACCGGGCGGTGCATGGGCTGTCACCCACCTGACATCTTTTCAGACTCTTCTGTTCCCACGGGAGCCCGTTAGCACCTTTACTGTGCTAGCCACTCACTGTGTTTCAGATTAGCGTTTTTCAACCTCAGCATGCATGAGGATCTGGTTCAAGTTGAAACAGATCACTTGGCTCTACTACAGGATTTCTGATTTAGCAGATCTAGAGGAGAGTCTGGGAATTTGCATTTCTAACACATTTTCAGGTGATGCTGATGTTAATGGTCCCAGGACCCCTTTGAGAACCAGTTTTAGGCCAGATTGTCAGACCGCACTGTGTGAGTGCCTCTAGAGAAGGCCCTGGCAACCTTTTCCTATAAAAGGCAAGGGCAGTAAATATTTTAAGCCATATGGGTCAGATAATCTCTGTCACAATCACTCAATTCTGCCTTTGTAATGCAGATAGGCAGCCACTGCTATATTGCAAACAAATGTTGTAGGACTGTGTTACAATATAGCTTTATTTATAAAAACAAGAGGTGGTCCAGGTTTGGCCAACCACTGGACCTCCTGCTTTTGAGCAGCACAGTTACAGAACTTTTTGGAGAAACCAGCCATAGTCAGTAAGCAAATAAATAAGCATGAATGTGCCCCAATAAAACTTTACTTATAAAAACAGGTAATAGGCCAGATTTGGCCCACAGGCTGTAGTTTAATCAGTGCTATTTAGTAAAATTTTCTGTGGTGATTGAAATATTTTATATCTGCACTGTCCAATATGACAGTCACTAGCCACATGTTGCTACTGAGCACTTGATATATAGTTAGTGAGACTAAGGCCTGAATTTCTAGATTTTAGATTTAAATGGCTAGTGGCCCCCTGTGCCACAGCAAGAAGACAGAAGGCTTCAATGGTGTAGCCACTCCTTCGCCGACTCCCTATACAGGGCCTTTGTCTTCTCTGAGCCTCAGTTTCCTTGTGTATAAGATGGGGATGAAACAGTAGCTATATCACTGGGCTTTCCCCAGGGGTAAGTGAGGTACCCTAACCCAAGGAGTCTTCTCCCTGGTTCTTTGCTCCCCACTGAGGGGCTGACCATAGCCAGGGGGAGGAGGAGGGATGGTGAGGGGGGGAGATGGCGGCCATCCCTGCATCTGCATGTCCTTCACTTCTCTTTGTCCAGTCTTTCCCACTAGACTGTAAGCTCCTTGAGGGCAAAGACCATGTCTATTATTCAAGGTGCAAAACCAGAGTCCTGCCATTCTTGGCACATGGCAGGCAGCCAGCTCATGCATTGAAAGAATGCCCCATGTTTCAGGCTTCCCATAAAACTGCACTCAGATTAAAGCTCTGCAGCTAAAATGTCTGAACACTTCCTGTCTTGGACCCCACCAGAACTGGAAGGGAAGCCACTGTGCAGATAGGGAACTGAGGCCCAGAATGGTCTTGCTAAAGGTTCCATGGGTTTAGGGGCAAAGTCACCCTGAGGACATAGGAATACTTTCTGGAGAAGAACTGAGAGGGGCAGCATGCAGAGCATCACCCCATTCTTCGCAGCATCACAAAGCTGACCCCAGGCCCCTGCCTCCTTGCTTCAGTACTGATGCTAAGCTTAGCCCTGTGTCGGGGTGAAGATGTGGTCAAGTCCCCCAGCTCCCCAAGATGACAGGGACAGACAGGAGAGTAGCCCCTCCTTTCTAATCAGCACTGGATTCTCTGCCAAAGTTTCACAGAGAAGCCTTAAGAACCAGTGTGAGTACCAGGGGGATGATGCAAAAGAGCCCTCAAGGCAGAGGGAACGGCAGGTGGAAAACTTGGTGGTGTGACTGGGTGCCAGAACCCTGGAAAGCATGCATTCCTGAAGGAATACAAGGGGTAGTTTCCAGATGTGGAGGGCAGGTGGGAAGGCTTAGAGGGCCATGGCTCTCCTTGAGCGGCACAGCCTGCTCCACCAGCTCAGTTACCTTTGGAATGGAGCTTTTTCTCAGGGCCACATGAACCCCATTGACACCTGGGAGCTTTGAGGGCAGTGAAGTTGCCTCTCTAGAGTGTGGGTGCAGGAAGTCCCTGGAAGGTGCCAGAGGGCATGCGTGCTGAAGATGTGATAAGAACTATTTTATACTTTCCAGAAAGCTTGAGAGAAGGAATGAATAAGAGTTTAGGAGAGCTGGGACAAGTTAGAAGTGTGACATCAAAGCCCTTAATGACTTAGGAACCTGCTCTCCTGTGTCAACCCCTGGGATCAGCCCTGCCCAGGGTCACAGGCCATGGACCCCGGGTCAGGCCTTTCCTTAGAGGCTCCCTAACAACTCATCTGCACAGGACAAGCCTTTGTTGAGGGTCTGGAGGAGGAAATAGCTAGCATTTAGCTCTGAGCACAAGGGATCTTCCCATTCTCAGTGTCCCCAAAGACTAGTGGAGTATGAGATTAAACGCTCTGTTGGTATCTAAAGAATTATTAAGCATCCCCAGGTAGCCTGTAACAGTCTCCCACCCTGCAGGTCCCCCCTTCCCTCCCCTCGAACTGGTGGAACCTCACACTGCCCAGGCAGGGGTCTGGGAAGCAGGAGTTTGAGAAACCTCCCTGGAGGTTCTTTTTGTGTGGGAAACACTGTTTAACAGGCTGTTGCAAGTTCATCACCTTTAGAAGGTGGTGGTGGGAGGGGATAGCCAGACAAGGGTGGAAGAATTCGCCTGGGATCAGGAGTGCAGGGGGAGAGGGAGTGAGGGGGAGTTAATGGGTCTGAAGGGAGACCCATTCAGGGAACCTGTTCACCGCACCTGGTGGGAAGTGGGGCACGGAGGAGGAAGGCTGTGTTCTCTACCACAGCAACTCAGTCCAGCGCTTAATGCTCCCCACTTTTGGAAACCCTAGCCATAACTGACTTTCATAGTTTTCCCCCCATAGTCTAACCAATCCAAGCTTTGGAACCTTAGCAAGGACGCGGAGTTCTAGGCTGAAATAGAAGAGGAAGGGCTCTGGCGGTTCACAAAGTGTGAATCCCTTGGGCATTGCTCAGGAATCGCTGCTCGGCTTTTACAGCCCAGGCCCCCAGCCAGGACACGAGGGGCGCCTGGTCTCCTCCGTGAGGTCCCTGCCGCCTGAGAGCAAAGTCCCCGCCTGTGGACTGCACCGAACAGCTCGCACCCTGATTTCTGGTTTTAGGATTTCAGCCCCAGCCAGGTCTTTGTTCAGACTGTAAAGGAAAAGGAAAAATCTACACGGATCGGTCTCCCGAGAAAGGGAAGGGTGAAAGGCGGTGAGAGAGAGGGGGTGGGAACTAGGGAGAGATGTGGGTGGGTAACGGGGGTGCCCGGCTGGCTGATGAGGTGGGGTGTGCCCAGAAGAGCGTGTGTGTCTGTGTGTTGTGGGGGGCGACGAATCTTGCATGAAATTCTCAACTCTGGGCGTGCCCGAGACGCTCGTCTGCGGACGCCGGCCCCAGGTTCGGGCAAACGCCCACCCCTCTCATTCACGTGGCCCCGCACCCCGAGTTGAGACAGCAGCTCCCTCCCTCCCCCCTCCCCGCGCCCCCCACTCACCTGCTCCCCCGCCCCGAGTTCACACGCCTGCTCTCTCCCCTCCTCCCCCGCCGCCCCCGTACCTGCGCCCAGCCGGGCCGACGAGGCTTGGCTGCGTGGCGAGGAGGCGCGGACCCCGCCGGGCGCGTGGGTGCGGGGAAGATGTGCGTGGGCGCGTGACTGCGCGAGCCTCCCCGAGCCGGCCGGCCCCGCAGAGGGTGCGCGGGGGAGCCCGCGAGTGCCAGCCGCGGGCGTGTGCCAGGCGCGGGCGTGCGCGCGAGGGTGTGTGCGCGGCCGAGGCGGAGCGCCCGGCGGGCGGCGGCGACGGCGGCGGCGTTAGGACTCGGGGGACACCGCCCCCCGCGCCCGCGTCCCGCCCCCGCCCCCGCCCAGCCTCCCGCCTCAGTCCGCGCCGCGCCTCGCCTCCGAGCGCAGCCGCGCCGGCTCCCGGAGCCCCGCCGAGCCCGCCCGGGCGCCCAGCGGCGCTCCCAGCCCCGGCCGCGCCGGCGATGCGGGGCCGCCCCGCGCCCGCTGCAGTCCCGGCCGCGGCGCCCGCGGGAAGGGGCTGAGCCGCCCGCCGCCGCCCGGATGGGGAGCCTCGCCGCGCTCGCCCTCAGCCTGCTCCTGCGGCTGCAGCTGCCGCCGCTGCCCGGCGCCCGCGCGCAGAGCGCCGCAGGTGAGTGCGCCCGCCGGGCCCCGCTCCGTCCCCGGCGCCCCGGCCCGCGTCGCCGCGCCCGCACCCGCAAAGTTGCGCGGGCTCGCGCGGGGCGCGGGTGCCGGCGGTCTGAGCCCCGTACCTGTCCGGGCGCGCCCGGCACCCCCGCGCGCCCCTCGGCAGCCCGCGTTTGACGAAGTTGCCCGCTTCACTTTGCAGCCGTCCCCCCGGGCTGGAGTAACTTTCCGCGGTTCTTGCGAGTATTTCCACTCGCTGCCTCCCACTTGTCGGAATCTGTCACTTGAGTGTTCGGGGCGGCGAGACGAGAGGCGGTACCGGCGGCCGGGGTGGGGCGTTCTGTCCCCGGCGGCGTCGTGGGCCGCGCGCGCTTTTCGGGAGGAGGACCGGCCGCCAGGAGGCCGAGGCTGCCGGGGCGGTGGCTTTCTTTCCTCCAGGGAGGGACGGGAAGCCCCAGACTTGCTCTAAACACGCCGCGCCCCTAAGCTTGTTTTGCCCGCCGAGGGCACAGTGGCAGGGGTGTTCTGTGTTAATGACCGAAACAGCACCCCACCTCCTCCCCACCCCGGGGTTTTCATCCAGCGTGAACGAACGCACCTGTTAGGGCCCACCAAGTGTAGTGGCTCTGACCTGTGAGCGTGGCTGCTTCTGAAAAGTTTGGGGCACCCCTAATTTGGGTTTGACCACGGGAAAGGTTTGCAGAGGTAGTCCCAGTGTGGGGGCTTTGCCCCGATACGCTCCCGATGGTAAGTTGGCCTGCACAGGAGGCCACCACGACCCCCGTCTTCCACATCCCCAAATCCCACCTCACACAGCCTCCAGCCCTGAGCCCCCAAGGAGCAGGCGGTGGGGGAAAGGAGAGAAGGGCGGAAGTGGTGCAGGTATGTTTCTAAGTTCAAAATCACCTTGAAGTTTCTTAGCACCAGTTGGTTTTGGTGTGACTACGCTGAGCAGAGATTTCTGGGTTCACAGGGACAGGATGAGATAAGCAAGTGGGACTTAGCAAAAGGCTCGTTTTGAATTGCTGAGTAACAGCGGTGCCCATGTATTATCACGCCGAAAGGAAGCAAGGAAGGAAAGACAGAAGCTGTGGGGGAGTGTAACCTCTTTAAACAGGCTGCTTCTGAGGCTAAGAGTCGCCGGGGTGACATTCCAGGGATATGCTCGGGAGTCTCCCTTGCCCCCTACCAAAATGGGGAACAATATGGGAGTTCGGTGGAGGGACAGCCTGGTTCCAGGACCGGGAAGTTAGGCGATTAGGACACCTCTTCGGAGGTGTGTGACGCTGAAAGGTTGGATTTAACACGCGAGAGCAGAGGGATCGCCGCAATACCATTCTAAAGATGGTGCACAATTCTTGTTTTCCTCGTTTTAGGTCAGTATTAGGTGTGTTAGGGAGAGGGGGAAAGGAGGATGCGTGGGGCCAGCCTGGGGACCCGGGCAGGATTTTTGTGTTAGATTTTACTATCTTCCAAGAGCTGGCTAGCCTGCAACACATTAACGGTAGTCACAATCCCGCGGCAAAAGCAGTATCAAAAGTATTCCACCACGGGTCTCAAACCGTTCCTGGGCAGCGTGTGCTAACACCAGACGGGCTTGGGAAGCTGTCCAATGCTTTAAGCACGCCGGTTCCGGATACTACCGCCAGGTGGCGCTGGCCCACAACTGTTAAAATGCAAATCTAGTTGCTTTCATCTCAAGAATATAGAACTTCTTTTCAATTTTTAAATGAGTAATGTGTTTATTCAGCAGCCTTTTGTTAAAACATTTAGAGAAGTGTGAGGAGCAAGTACCCTTTCTTTGTTTGCTCTTCGGAACACAGGGGAAAGAAAAGCAATCCTGGAGTACAGTTTTGGGAAGAAATACACTGTTCCTTGTGTTAGCACCTTATGTTTCTTTTCATTCTATCTGAACTGAATGACTTCTGCAAACCTAGTATAAACTGTATACTTAACAATTGATTGCATGTTTTTTCCAGGGCCTTCTTAAAAGAGTGAGATGACCTTGCATTGGAGATTTGATGCATTTTAAGCCTTATTCATTATAAAAATGGGGATTTTCTGTATATGTCTTTCCCTTCTGTTTTAATGTGAACTGGACCATACAACTTAGATTATTTATTTACAGGTTTCTTCGTGTATTTTGTAGATGTAGGAATATCGCACATGTTGACTTTTTAAAATGGACTTACCTTCTTACTTTATTTCTAAATGCAGAAATTGTTGGAATCCAAATCTAGTATAAATATGACAATAGCTTGATTTTCTTTAAAAATTCTTATGTAAAACTTTAGGCAAGTTTAGGTAAATAATACATTTTAAAACTCGGTGTGCTCTTCATATTCTTTTAATTTGAAAGTCTCAGTCTGGAGCAATTTCAATTTGTAAGCTTATGTCTAGTACACAGTTGGGGTGATATGTTTTGCTGTAACATGTTGGTTACGGTATCCAAAAGTCACTGGCAAAAGCTTGTCATCAAAAGCCAGTTTCTTTCTTCCTTACCCTCTGATGTGTTTCATGAGCCAGAGTGATTTTTGTGAGGAATGGTAGTAAAAAACACATTTAAAAATCAGCCTGTTAAGAGTGTGACAAAACATGATTTGAGATGGGGAGAAAAAGGAAACAGTTAAACTAATGGATAAGGGGATAAGTAGTCCATTTACTAGTGGGTTTCAGCATCCAACATTGAGAGCAAAAGTAGATCGTAGAGGGGACTGACTTGAGATAGCAATTGTTAGCAGTGTAGTCATTTAACTCGATAATCATTGCCAGATACCTCTGGGGAACTGTTAGCAATACAGTCAAATTTTATTTTCTCTCCTGGATTGCTTGATTTGTTTCCTAATAAAAGAACAATTAATGTGCAAACCTGGTTTGGATTCTGTTTCAGCAACAATTGCAGGAACATTCATAATGAAAGCAGACCATCTTCTTGGGTGACAACCCACTACCTTTCTCCTCTACTTAATTTCTTCTTGCTTATCCCCAGCACAGCTCCTGCGGGCTCCAGGCTGTGCCAGCCGACACAGCGTCCGCTGTAGTACTGACTGCCACCTTTCAGAGCCATGATCACAGGACATTACAGCATTGTTCTTTTAGCCCAGGCTACTCCCGTGGCTCTGACAGCATGTTGCTGTGGAAACGAGCAATGCCACGTAGGTGGTGGGTCCTTGATAAATATTTATTGAGGATGATGAAGAGATGGTAGAGTCTTCTGGCAACTCTGATAGGAGGTGGGGGAATTTAACTCCGGAGGCAACCTGATGTAGAGAAAAGAACATGAGCTTTGGAGTCTGAAGTCCTCAGTTTGAATCCTGCCTCTGCCTCTTTCTCAGCTATGCCAGCTTGGGCAAGTCATTTGCCTTCTCTGATCCCCTGTTTCTCATCTGTAGAGTGAGGATAATTATGGCTGCCTCCCTAGATTTTGTGACAACTGAGATGATGTGTGCAGAGGGAGTGGCGGGCTGGTGCGTAGTAGCACTTCACCTTAAAGAGGAGCCTTGTCTGTTACTGGCTTTGGCATTGGTGTATGTGTAAAGGTCAGGGGGCATTGATGTTAAGCTCAGTTGTTATGATTTGAAAATTAGATGACTGGATTTTGGTGATGACTTCTGGTTTTTCTCCTTTCTTTTTTTGTGGGGCTCGGTTCCTTGCAACTGCTTTTAGAGAGAGATTTAGAGTGAAACAGGTGACACTAATACATTTGGTCATTTCAAGAATTTAATAAGGAATGTTTACTTTTATGCACATTTTACCTCCTAGATGAGAATTAATAAAAAGCAAACATTACACATAGTAACAGGAAAGAATTTGGCATGTCCTCTTCTTTCCTTTCCTTCTACCCTCCCTCATCAGTCTTCTTTGCCTCTGGGTCCCCTGCTCCATTTCCATCCCTTACTTAACCTGGAAATCAAGCGCACGGCTCTCGGGGGCAGAGGGGGTGTTTGGGGGTGGGGTAGAAGATGCTTTGTCATAAACCGGCAAAGAATAAGTAAACATAGAGGCCCATGGCATTCCAGTAAACAAAAAGGCTATGAGATTGTTGAAAACAAACCATGTCTGACAAGTATAGAGCATTTGCAAGCATGTTACAGAATTGAGGCTTGGAGGCAATGCCATGTGGATATTAGAAAACAGAGTGTCTTATGAAATCTTATAAAATGGATCCATTTGGTTTGGAGTGGGAGAAAGCCATGTTTTTTTTTTTTTTTTTGGTGTGTGTGTATAAATAACAATCTGATGTGGCCAAGGGACAATGATGACAGTGGTGACCACTAGTGTGTCCAGGTGGGCCAGGTAACCAGCTGGGGTCATGGGATTCAGTTTTGCTGAGGTCTTGCAGGACGTTTTCTTGGTCTGAGAGATGGGCAAACGAATATGATAAGGCCATATATTTATTACTTATTGGTAAGAATTGCAAGTTCTGAAAGAGATCCGGAGGGATCCAGTGAGGATGCTAAGCATAGATCCCAAGGGATCTACCAAAAGACAACTGAAAAGTCAGTATTAATGTGTCAAAAAGACAATGTGAGGAAAGGGTGAGGAGCTGTTGAGAAATGGTGATTATTTAGCCTCTTTATCCCAAAATGTCAGCTTTATTTCACTTGGGCCCTTCTAGGTATTTACACGGCAAGGGCAGCGCTAGAAACCCCACCAGATCCACCATCAGACTGGGGGTAACTAATAAATCCAGTGAGTCGACAGTGTTACAGACTTACTTTTTTCACACCAGAGTTAGGCTGCTAAACTATGTCTGATCACAGACATCCACTAGTGAATGGGTGGAATAGATATGAAATCTTTCCAATTTCTTGAATATTCAGCTTAAAATTTTTATTTGATGCTGGAGAGAATAAAAAAATGGGGAAGCCACTTTGGTAAGGGGTTTGGCAGTTTCTTTAAAAAGTTAAACATGCACGTGCCATAGGATTCAGCAGTTCTACTTCTAGGAATATACCCAACAGAAACGAAAACATATGTCCACACAGAGACATATCTGTGAAT